TCCAGGTGAAATCCCTTAATGAAAAATTATTCTAATCCACCCTTGGCCAACAGAGAATTAAACTCTCCCCTCTCTCCAGTTTAAATGGGTAACATATTTCTCAGCTCCACTTACTTGAAAGGTATTTCCCAGATTTGTTCTTTCACTATCGCCTGTCAGTAGTATAAGGGCCCTACCATCAATCAAACCCTAACCCCGCCCCTTGACCCCTTAAGTCTCGCCCTTGACCCCTTGGTCCCTCCCACCCGTCACCGGAAGTCCCATCCCATGGTGGTATTACTTCCGGGGTCAAGGTGCCACCTGACCAGAAGCAAGGTGTGTCATGTGACTCCTCTAAGAACTCCCCCCACCACCCTCTTTGACCAATCAGTTTGACTTCCGGGGCGGGGGTGACCGGTCCGGAAGTGGGTCGTGTGACCCCTAAAAGAACTCCCCCCACCACCCTCTACCAATCAGGAGGGGTTTCATCCCGACAGGACCTCCCCGAGAGGAGATTTTGACCAATCAGGGTGACTTCCAGGTTGGGGTGACCCCTCCGGAAGTGAGTCGTGTGACCCCACTAAGAACTCCTCCCAAGGCCCTCCGCCAATCAGAGTGCAGCACCATTACCCCATAAGTCCCAGCACCAGAGAGAGGAGGCGGCCATCTCTTACCAAGGACACGTGTTTTCGAAATCGCGGAAAGGCTGCTGAGAGGAAACATGGACTCCTTCATCACCCCGTGAGAACTTCGGACTTTGTTTTAGCCCCAACCACCTTTGAACTTGTGTGGAGCAGGTGTTACATCAGCGACAGTTCCAAGGAGGACCCTTTGACCCAGCCATTGATGGATACGTCGGAACCCGACCCCGAAACCCTCGTGAAGCACCCCGATGAACGTGACGGCCTCTCTTTGTCCACCCCCTCAGAGGTGGAAGGCGATCGCGGCTCGGGGGAGGCACCGGCGGACAAAGTGAATGGAAAAGACGGAGCTCAGGTAAAATGAATGTTAAGAAGCAGCGGTCAAGTAGGGGTGGGTTATGGGGTAGGAACCGGGGATTGCGTAAATTAAAAAACAAGCAGTGAGGGTTGTTTACATGGTTTCTTTTCTGAAAATCTCTCAACAGGTCGACGATGCCTTTTTAGAGGCCTTTAAGAACTTACACATTGGAAGCCCTGTGGGAGTAAATATATCGTGCGTCAGCTGTTTTTGCTCATGTCTGAGACACAGATCTCAAGCCGAAAAGGACAAAATGGAAGAATGAACCATCTGATACTCCCTTATAGTATAAGGGCCCTACCATCAATCAAACCCTAACCCCGCCCCTTGACCCCTTAA